TGCCCTTCATTAGCCCAGTCGGAGCAGTACAGTATGACATTAAACCTCATTTAATATCATTTCAAAAAGCTAAAATAATGTTATCTGACTAGGTCAGGTGTTTCAACATATCAATCGAAATAAAAATTAATTTACGGACGATATTGCGAAAACATGAAACCAAAATAAAAAAACAATATTAAGAAAGATATTGAACCAAAAACTAAGTCATTTCGGGAATATATATGTTTTAATTTTATTTCAATAATTCGCTTGCGCGTAGCGGTCTTTAGCAGTAGGAGGGAACTAAAGGACCCGAAGAAAACTTACGAGGTTGGACAAGCGACCCGGAGGACCCAGAGGACCCGGAGGAAACCCACGAGGATGGACAGGCGACTCTACTCCTTACCACGTACAACCTGGGAATCGAAACTACGCCAGTTGACTCAATGACAGATCTTATGATACAACGCGCACGCGCTAACCATTACCCCGCCCCCTCCCGATATTGAACTAAGTTTAAGAGTGTTTTATCTAAGCCATGTTGTGACCACATGTGCTTTTAATTGCGCCACTTTATGTTTATAGAATTATTCCATATTATTTCACTTCGCCTGATTTTACTTAGGCTACCAGTACGTAGATGTAACTTGACAAAACATAGCCTATGTCCTGGTTCTGAGAAAGGCGATGAAGATAATGATGTCACAGTGATTGTATTTACAGGGGCGATGACAAGATATTACGTCCATAATCTTTCTTATCTAAATTATTATACGTTTTATGCAATTTAAAAATGCCATTTTATTCTATTTTGTATCATTACGGCCACTTCCTTCCATATGGGTTATATAAAGAATCTTAACAAAAAAAATAATTATTAAAATCGCTCAAAGACTCGCGAAGTTATAACCCCCCCCCCCCCCTCGCCTCACCATCTCCCGGTATTGAAGAGTTTTTTTTTTATCTAAGCCATGTCGTGACCACATGTGCTTTTAACTGCGCCACTATATGTTTATAGACTTATTCCATATTATTTCACTTCGCCTGATTTTACTTAGGCTACCAGTATGTAGATGTAACTTGACAAAACATAGCCTATGTCCTGGTTCTGAGAAAGACGATGAAGATAATGATGTCACAGTGATTGTATTAACAGGGGCGATGATAAGATATTACGTTCATAATCTTATCTAAATTATTATACGTTTAATGCAATTTAAAAATGCCATTTTTATTCCACTTTGTATAATTACGGCCACTATCTGCCATATGGGTTATATAAAGAATCTTAACAAGAAAAAATAATTATTAAAATCGCTCAAAGACTCGCGAAGTTATAAGCATTTCACCCGGGCGAAAAAATAATCTGAAAAATAAAAGAAAATAACTGAGCTATAATCCGATGACTTCCAAATCTAGAAGTTTCAGAAAAATCGATCAGGGAGACGGATCAGAAAATGAAATGAAAATGGCGGAAAAAATTGAAAAATGAAATGATATAATTTTGAATGGAACTTATATTTTTTGAATCAGATTGACCTCAGCTGCTCGAATATTTAATTCAAATAAGTAAATTTTGAAAATTAAGGAAATAAATTGTCTGCACGAAAAGGGTCAAAGGCGAAATTCGAAATTTTGAAACATCAAAATTCGAACATGATCCTAGCAATCCAAAAATCTAGTTATTTCGGAAAAAAGGAGAGGTATTCTTTAAACTGCTGCCTATTGTGTTCATTTTCACGTCCGTTGAAGTAGATTTTTCACTTTTTTTCATATTCAATTCAAAGTGGTGACCATCAATTGACCTAAATCAAAATTCTGCTCCGATAGATTTCCAGGCAGTCCGTCAAGGATTCAGAAAAAGTAACTCTCATATCTGTAAGTAAAATATCGCAAAAACCTTGGGGATGTTTCACGTTTCAAGATGGTGGCACTTCCGGTTCGATCGGCAAACTCCATATTTTATGCACGCATCAGTAATTTCTTAGCTAGTAGAAAGAAAAAATTCAAGGCATTCTGACCTACATTTTTCCGATTTTTTTCAAAACTTTGTCCCTTAATTTCTCCAAGGAGAGATAAGTTAGGAAATTTCTAATGATATCGTTGAAATTGGATCAATGAGTTCTACTTACATTTCAAATTTCATGAAAATCGTACAAATATTAAAGAAGTCGTCAATTTGGTTTTACTTTCTGGACGAAATGTCAATGACGTAATATTCGATATTAAAAAATCGGAAATACCAGAATTGAAGTTAACGTTTCAAGGTACTAAAAGGGAAAAAATAGTAAAATAGGATGGATTCGTAAAACGTTTTAAAAATATATTCATTCCATTCTTGTGGGGGTAGGTCAAAGTTTTAGAAAGATCGTATGATTAGATTCTGGGATATAAGATTTGCAGGAAAAGAACAAAAATAGTAATAATGAAAATAATAACTAGATCTGCGAGGCTGATATGAAAGCTTTCATATTCACAGTCACTTCCTGTCACATGGCTCATTTAAAGAATCTGAACAGGAAAAAATAATCATTAAAATCGGTCAAAAGCTAAAAAAGTTAATGCGATTTTTCACTCGTAAACAACTATGTCGGCACAAAAAACGTCAAGGGCAAAATTCGATATTTTGACATCTTCAAATACCATAAATTCGACCCTGATCAAGGCTATCTAGAAATGTATTCATTTTGGAAATAGGAGACGTATTCTCCAAACTACGGCCTATTGTTTTCATTTTCATGTCCGTTATCGTCGATTTTTCACTTTTTCTTATATTCAGTTCAAAATGGTGACCATCAGTTGACCGATATCAAAATTCTGATCCATAGATTTTTAGGCATTCCTTCAAGAATTCAGAAAATGTAACTCCCATGTCTGTAAGTAAAATATTGCAAAAGCCATATGGATTTTTCACGTTTCAAGGCGGTGGCACTTCCTGTTCAATCGGCAGACTTCATATTTTGTGTATACATCACTACTGTCTTATCTAGTATAGAAAACAAATTTCAAGGCAATCTGACCTATTTTAATGACATATTTGAAGTCGCATCGTTAAGATCTACTTACAGACTACTAAATTTCATGAAAATCGTGCAACTATTAAAGAAGTTGTCAGGTTGGTCTCAACTTCCGGTTCAAAATCACAGCGACGAATATTCGAAATTGGAAAATCAGAAATTGCAGATGTAAATGTTTCAAAGTACTCAAAGAAAAAAGAATTAGTAAAATAGGTCAAATAGTCACAAAGTTACAGCAATGTAGGTTTAATGCATTCGTTCGTACAAACAAAAAATAATAATAATCTTAGCAGAAACAATAAGCTTTTATATGAAATATGAAAGCTTAATAATAACAACTTTAACAAAAACAATAAGCTTTGATTTGAAATACGAAAGCTTAACTAGATCTGCCCGGCAGATATGAAAGCTTTCATATTCACGATCATTTGCTGTAACATGTCATGCGTTATGTAAAGAATATCAGAAAGGAAAAAGAATTATTAAAATCGACTGAAGCGGTGTTTTTGATGACATCTTAGGTTTGTCGATGTATGCACGAAAGTTGATCGCGTTGTACGGAAAAGTCGAATTAAATCGTCATTTTGGTCATTTCACCCATGACCCCCCCGTTTGGCGTTCTTATCCAGGATAGAAGGAGATTTCGCGTTCTTAAGTTAGTGTTATGTTCTAGCGGACCAATAGTGAAACTCTTAACGAAAAATTTGATGTTGTACACGGAAGTCGAATTAACCCATCTCTCAGGGAGGTAAATGGAGTGTTCTTAAGGGAGGAAGGAAGGAAGGTTCGCTGGTCTTCTTAAGCAGTGGTTTTGATGTCGACGTATGCATGAAAGTTGCTTGTATGCACAAGTCGAATTAAATCGTCATTTTGGGAATTTCATCCATGGTAGGGTGCCCCATGTACCGAAAATTTTCCCTACTAAAAGTGGTACTCGACACTCGAATTTCATCCATGGTAGGGTGCCCCATGTACCGAAAATTTTCCCTACTAAAAGTGGTACTCGACACGGTGAATGTGCATGCTTCAGTGGCTTGTCTCGAAGTGATTTCTGCCTAGTCACGCACTCTCTTCGAGTCTACAAATAGCCATTGCACGTGAAATTCTCAACACATCTATCAACTATTACAGCCGTAAAAAATCTGTTGTTGACGATTCTGAATAGCAGTAATATTTAGCTTTTTGGTTATTACAGCAGCTTTAGAAATTACGTTCGTTTTATTTTTTAAATTGCTTTATCATTAACTATACCGTTAGGAGCGGCATCTTTTGGTTTAGTACAAATAGTATCTCTGGAAAACTCGGGTTAGACAGGAACATGATACTAACAGTAGTTTCATTTAACTTTTATAAGGTTCTTAAAACATTTGTTGAGTTGCTTACATTGCGTATTTCTAAATTCAATTTCTTGTTCCAGCTTTCTGTCATGTTTCGTAAAAAAAAGAAGTCTTGATCATCCCGGCCTGTCAATCAGACGGAGAATGGTCTGTAGACTGGTTACGCGAGACTAATTTCAAAACAAGGGCACGTAACCTATTTATTGCTCAAAAGTGCCTGGCTATTATGGACAGATCGTATGCTGAAGTCGAATTAACTCATCTCTCAGAGGGTAAATGGGGTGTTCTTAAAAGAGGGAGGAAGGGTCGGGGGTCTTCTTAAGCAGTGTTTTTGGTGAGATAAGTCGACTTATACACGAATGTTGATTGTTGTACGCAAAGTCGAATTAAACTCGAAGTTTCGACGTTTTGTCGGACCACCCCCTCCCCCACCCCCATGGGAAAGGGACCCGCAACTTAAGAATCAAGCTTCAGAGTATCGGGCACTGCTGTCCACTCATCTAGCATAGTAGAAATTTTGTACGCGTTTTTCGAAACAACCCAAACCTAGCGCCTTTACTAGTAGGCCTACGACTCAGGCAAAAATAGACTGCATAATCCCAGCAATGGTTCTTTTTATATACAGCTGGATCAGATATAATATAATATGGATTTTATTTTACAGCCTCCATTATATCGAGAACAGCATAATTCTATATCTCGTCTAGAAAACTATGAGGACAACCAAACACAGGAACCACCCTTGTCATATCGCAGTCGCTATGGTGACCAATATGGCTTCCGATACCCTGAAAAACCACTAGATACATACAGACAACCTTTCAGCTATGAATACAAACCAAAAGTAGAATATCCCTGGAATAGGCCATCTTATAAACCGATGGTAAATATTATGTTAGTTATTGTTAGACAGCCAAACACTTCAGTTTTACAGAATACATTTAATGGTCGAAACACGTATTGTTTTCATTATTATATTTACGTGTTTTCGTAAAGTTTTTTTTTTATTAAGCTTTCATATTTTATATGAAAGCTTATTGTTTTTGTTAAAATTATTATTATTATTAAGCTTTCATATTTCAAATGAAAGCTTATGTTTTCTGTTAAGATTATTAAGCTTTCATATTTCATATGAAAGCTTATTGTTAAGATTATTATTAATAAGATTTCATGTGAAAGTTTAATGTTTTTGTTAAAATTATTGAGCTTAAGCTTCAGTCAATCTTCAAAATCCTACTTGTCCAACAATTCTTATCCAATTTTCAATATCGTCATATTTTTGGACAATTTGCAATTGATCGATCGTTTTCGAATATTGATATTTGACCTATAATTTTTTAAAATGACGTCATAAAATTGAAGTTTTTTTAAAAAAAAGAACAAACGTGTAAGACTTTGAAATCAGGTAATATGTCAATGATAAACGATAAAATGAGTCATTTGGTGCTTATTCTGCAAGTCTCATCAAAATCGGTTTGTAAATAAAGGTTCTACACATAAAATAAGTGATCTAAATCGTTTAAAGGGATATTTGATACCCCGCTTATCCGGACTTAATAAAATTGGACTATAAAGTACTAAACCAGGCCGAGTTTTAAAGTACAATGCGCGAAAGAGGAGTACGATTCAAGTTGCTGGATGTGTCCATCTATATGTTCTATTTATAAGATTATAATGCTATCAATGGATCACCTGTTGTCTTTTATATATCTATTTATATTGCAAGGGGTTTGTCTATAAGGCGGCAGTGTAATGACAATCCTATAGTTATGGAAGGATAACGTTGCCAATATTATTTCAATTTTCCCTGTATATATCAGTAGTTCAAAATACGTATTTTAGTTTGACAATTTGCAATTTCTATTGCTCCACAATACAAATGTCACGGTGTTAGAATACAGAATGCACTTTTCAATAATACAAAATACAGTATAATAGTTATTTTGCACATTACACTTCTCTATTCTGCATTTTGCATACTAGACAACTGCATAATAGAACTTGGCATATTAGAACATATATACCTTTTATGGGATCTACGTCGAAGCTCATTTGCATACGGAAAAAAGTCCGGACTAGGACGGAAATTAATAATTTAAGCGATCATCTACAAGGTCAAGGTCAGTAAAAAGGGGAAGAGATTACGCTGGAATACAAAAAGTCACCATAGAATAAGTCGGCTTACCATTCAATGAGGGGGAATCAAGCTATTATGCAAGCCCCACACCTCTTTAATATCCTTTTCTTCGACGTAGAGTTGCTAGCCTGGAGGTCCCGTGTTCGATCCCTGCATTGACCGGGAAATTTAATCGGAACTTGTACAGCTTTGCGTGCACGTAAAAGATCCTTTGGCAGTTGGAATTTGATATAAGAATAGGCCATAATGCCGCTGCCCGGAAAAAATTCCCGTCGTAGGACACTGTACGGCGTATGCCTATCTCCATTACCCCGGTCGGAGCAAAACAGTAGGACGTTAAACCCCATTTCATTTCATTTTTTCAAAATGTGTGCCAGAAAATTATTTAAATATTTGAAAAGAGAAATGAACGTGCGTTTTAGTGATACGTAATGGAATTTTTATCGTACTAACTTTAGTATTGATGATCGAGGCTAGGCATAAAAATTCAAAAGCTAATATCTCGGTTCAGAGTAGAACAAATTGACTGAAATGTATCGGACCATAACTTCATGTTTATATCTCAAAGATCATGGTTCCTTTCGATATTCGCGCATAACGGATCGTCATTTCCTAAATTATCACCCCTGATTGTACGAAAAATCGTGTTTATTATCCAATTTAAGGGCGCTGAGTAGTCTAAGATACGCACTATTTTTTCAACACCAATCTTATTAAGACTTTGCACACTTGTTCCTTGTTTAAAATAACCCAGAAGACACATAACAGTCCGACCGTTTGTTGTGTAATAATGCAGGTGCAAACGGAAAGAAAAAAAAATATTTATAGCAAACGGGGTTTCCACGACCTAGATTTAGTCCGGTAAAAATAATAAATAACCTAGAACAAATTGCAACAGAATTTTTCTCGACGGAATCTGGTAGAGGGGTCCCTGAAGGTCTCCCAAACAAAAATCGCCCAAAATAAATAGATAGGTTTTCGAGTAATTAGCATAAATCCAATATGGCCGCCATTGGCATCTTAAAACTCCAATATCTCGGGAATGGTTGAGTTTGGAGGGTGTAAATGTATTACGGGTAGATAGGAAAGTGGTACAGATGACTCAGAAAAACATAGCTAAAAGACGTTCCTGTGACGTCATACCGTCATATGACCAATAATTTGCATAAATCCAATATGGCCGCCATTGAAACTTAAAACTCCAATATCTCGGGAATGCTTGAGTTTGGAGGATGTAAATGTATTACTAGTAGATAGAAAAGTGCTACCAAAGAACTAGAAAAACAATGTCAGGTGTCGTCCCCGTGACGCCATAAGTCATACGGCCAACAATTAGCATGAATCCAAAAAAAAAAAATAGGTTTTCGAGTAATTATCATAAATCCAATATGGCCGCCATTGGCACCTCCTTAAAACTCCAATATCGCGGGAGTGATCGATTTTATAGGGTGTAAATGTATTAGGGGTAGATATAAAAGTGGTACGAAAGAATAAAAAAAAAACATAATCTATGACGTCCATGTGACGTCATAACGTCATACGTCCAACAATTGGCAAAAATCCAATATGGCTGCCATTGGAACCTTAAAACTGCAATACATTTGGAATGATTGAGATCAGGGGGTGTAAATGTATTGCGGTTAGGTAGGAAAGTGCTACCAAAGAATCAGAAAAAAAACCATTGCCAAATTACGCCCATGTGACGTCATAACGCCATAGTCCAATCATTAGTATAAATCCAATATGGCCGCCTTTGGAAATCTTAAAACTCTAATATTTTATGTATTATGGGCAGACAATGTGAAAAGGCGTAATGATTAAACGAAGAACCTGGACAATTCTTCGACAATGTTATGATAATTCACGAAAGGGGGATTTGGAATTGGACTAGAAGAGATTTATCAAAATAGCAGCCACACTAATCTGCAGCCAGATTATTAAACAAAATCCATCACACACCCAGAAAAGTATTACTTTTGAGTGCATTTTGCATCAATTTTGCTGAAGAATACACAATCACTTTCAACTGATTAAACGATCCTTTGACACCATCCTATTTTTTCGATTTGATTAAACCATATGTGCCTTCTCGTTCCTTACGTTCATCTCATAAAATCCAACTTGTATGTCCAGTACAGAAGTCAAAGTTTGGTGAGAGAGCTTTTGCGTACGCAGCACCAAAAGAATGGAACAAATTGCCTCTGGAAGTCCAAAATATAGGCTATATTTAAACGACGTCTAAAAACCCGTTTTTTTTTTACCCAAACTTTTAAACTATAATTTAAATGGTTCACTTTCCATTTGTATGATGTAGCGTGACTATACCTTTGTATTCTTTTGTTTATTTGTATATACATGTATGTTTTTTATAATCATATCTACGTTGTAAAGCGCCACAGAGCAGTTAGACTGACTGAATGTTCAGCGCTATAGAAAACGATTATTAATATGATTATGTTTGGTAAAAGCGGCCACACCCCAAGCAATTTTAGACCTATTTCATTCAACGTTCGCGATACAGCTACATCATATTTATAGTCCAGGATTTCTGATCGGTACTTTGAATGCATACGGCTTCTGTACCTCTTATTTGAAATTAAAGCAGCAACGATGTAGTAATGCCGGACTTCCTTGTTGTTTCCTTTGTGATCGTAAAATAAAACTACGGGTTAGCATTGATGATAGCTGCTGGGAATATCAGGGTGAGTTCTGCCCAATTTCACTCAACACTCTCTTTTATAACCCTCTAATTTCTGCACGCCATAGACTGACCTAGGCGTTCATTTACTCCCCAAATATGGAATAAGCACCCCCATTTACCCCAAACCAACGGGAGCACATTACCTTATTTGGTCTATCAACCACATGTCATAAACAGATAGGATATTTTGACAATGGTAAAGATTTTACCAAAATATCACTGATTTGTTTTTATAATGTATATAAAAATATCATTCATCTTCATTAGTACGTGGGATTTGACTCTATAGAATGTAATATCCAATAATTAGTTAAAGGACCAAAGTATTACATTGACCGACCTTCTAGAGACACATGGACAGACGCTCCAGAACTAGACCCTACAAGTTTGTTAACTAATTCACCTGACGCCAACTTAAAGATTGAAATTCATAGTCAACGATTCGCATGAACCTGAACCAATTGCATACATGACACTAGAGTCCCTGAAATCGTCAATAAAGAAGAATTGTTAGCAGAAGAATTGTACAGTCCATAATTGAAATTCAGGTCTATCAGAAACCAAGTACAATATTTTGTATTACAATATTCCTGTTAAAACCTTTACAAACTGATGACATGTATATAGATATTCAAGAAATATATGAATTGTTTTACAGGTGATACAAGTAATACATTTTCACCCTCTAAACTCAACCATCCGCGAGAAACTGGATGTGTATGGTTCCAATGGCGACCATATTGGATTTATACTAATTATTGGACGTATGACGTTACGACGTCCCGGTGACGTAATATGGCAATGTTTTTCCGATTCTTTGGTAGCACTTTCCTATCTACCCGTAACACATTTATACCCTCCAAACTCATCCATTTCCGAGATATTGGAGCTTTAAGGTGCCAATGGCTTCCATATTGGATTTATGCTAATTGTTGGCCGTATGACGTCACAATGAAGTCTTATGGCATTGTTTTTCTAGTTCTTTCGTAGCACTTTCCTATCTACTCGTAATACATTTACATCCTCCAAACTTAACCAATCCCGA